TGAGGCTCAGGCTGGGACTGTGACTGAGGCTGAGGCTGACTGTGACTCTGACTCCTAGGCTGCGACTAAGGCGCGGCCAGCGGCGACTGTAATTTCTGTCTTGCGCATTCTAAACACACACTCGAATAAAAAAAAAAAACAAACAAACAAATAAATGCTCCAACACACACAACATAGAGATACAGTAGAAAACGTTTTAGAAAAACTTGGGAAAATATGCAGGAAATTAGAAATAGAAACCAATACAGCAGGAAACAATTGTTGACTTAAATAATATTGTAGCTTAAATCAGAATACACTTGAAAATTCAAAATTGAGGAAAAGTCGTAAGTTCTGAATTGTTTAAGAAGTTTTGATATCAGTAAGGAAATCTATAGCCAGCAAACAATTAGTGATTTGATTGGTGTTTTAGCTTCAGCCTAACCAATTAAAAAATTAAAAAAGTAAAAAAAAAATGAATTTTAATTAAAAATAAGTCGAAAAGGATTGACAAACATAAGAACTGCAAAAAAATACCTACTCGTATCTATGGTAAAGTTTTGAAAAACAAAATTATGAAAAAGATGTATTCTAATTTCCAAAATTCACTTCTCTTTCTGCTTTATTTCGAAAATAGTGTATCTAACCAAAATAGTTAATATTTCAACTGCCGCAGCTCTTAGCGGCAGTTTAAATGACGCTGAATATACTCTTAGATAATGGTAATAAATATGGGCTCAGCATTTTAGGTACAGTTCAGAAAAGCACCTTTCAAAGCAATTGATTTGATCAAGACAATATATTTTGGTCCTTAACTTAAGGATCTTAGCTATATCAGCTATAAATTCCAACATATAAAATATTCCAAAGATGTTCCACTGTATTTTGCGGCTCGCAGAGTCTTGGGCCAAGTGTGGACTCTTCTGCCTCGGCTAGTTTGAAGATGCAGATGCAGCTCGACATTCAACAAAGCTAGCCACATGTGCCTGCTGCCAGCTCTCCCTCTCTCCTTCTCTCTCTATTCCTTTAGTCATGTATGTATGTGTGCATTTGAACCGCCATATTGGGTGCATAACGGTGCAAAAATCGCGCTGCATTTTATATATATACTTATATATATAGCGCTTTCCCACTTACACATAAACGTTGCAGCCCCCGCCACAAACGCCGCCACCGTCGATTGCTTTCTTCTGTCGTTGTCTTTTTTATGCTGCCAACTTTATGTCTATGGTTTGTTGCATTGATGACGACCAAGACTGTAAGACCAAGAGGAAGACGACCCAGCGACCGATAGACCGACCAAGCGGCCAAGAGACCAAGCGATCAGGCAAAACCGCAAATAAAAATACAGCAACAACAAAATACATACAAACACACATGTATATAGTATAGTTGGAGCCGTAGTTGCCTCCCTCCATCCCGCCCCTTGTGGTTGCAACAGTCTCGAACGCTTTTTGCCGCACTGCTCTTCAACACTTTGCGCATGCGCTGATCGATTGTGCGGAGCGTGTGTGCCGATCATCTTCAATGCTGGCAGCAGCAAAAGGCAGTTGCAGTGGCAATAGCATATTTTCCGCATCTAAAATGATGTGACTGCCGACTAAGCCATATAATCATTAACTGTGCTGCCTGTGGCTCCTCAAATCAAGTGCGGCGCAAAGGCTGATATAACAAGAGAGAACGCTACAGTCGAGCAAGCCCGACAGTGTAATACCCTGTACCCAGGTAAACTTCCGCCACTGAGTTATATGCGCCCAAAGCAGCAAAAAGAGGAAGAAGAAGAGCGAACTTGTTGCTGCAGTTTGTGGGGGTTGTACTGGCGAGAATTTGTTTCGCTAATAACTTTTCTTAGAATTGACCGAATAGAATAAAATTTTGAACAACAGTAGACAATTATATAGAAATTATGTGTGCAAAGTTTGGTTTAGGTAGCATTTGAAATGTGGACGCTATTGACGAAATTCTGTAGCGGGGGAAGGGGGGGAAAATTCAAAAAAATAAAATAAACTCGTCCTTTCTCGGACCTAGGAGAATCTGGATGCCAACTTTGGTTATTCTAGCTTTTATAGTTTCTGAGATCCTCGCGTTCATCCAGACGGACAGACGGACAGACGGACAGACGGACGGACGGACGGACATGTCTAGATCGATTTCTCTCGTCATGCTGATTCAGAATATATATACTTTATGGGGTCGGAGATGCTTCCTTCTGTATGTTACATACTTTGCACAAACCTAATATACCCTTTTTACCCTACGGGTACAGGGTATAAAAATGTGTGAGGTTGAGAAGGTAGAGCAAGGAAACTTCTCAATCCAATAATAATGGGCTTAAGATCTTTTGCTGGTCTCACTTCTTAAATATTTTCAAAAGATTACAGTTTATATTACAATTAATATTAATTTATTATTGGCATTTAGTTAGGACGTCAATTCGACTTAAGATAATTATCGTTAATTCAAAAAAGAGGAGGAAAATTGTAAGAACTTTATTTATACGATATTATTTCCTACCCACCTAAACTTCCAGGAGAAGGGAAAAGGTAAATCTTAACATACAAGTATGCCGACTTTTCCTACTTTTCAGCTAGTGTTTCTATCCAAAGTTCTTTGACGACCTTCCCATTTGATCAAGATCAAATCTAACTCTACTTTTTACGACTCCACTCTAAAAATGTTAGTCCTTGAGTATTTAACGATTTCATCTGGTTTAGATTTCTTGCAAATGAGAATTCACCACTTAGACATTCCATATGGACTCTAAGTAAAACCTTCATTTTCTTATTTTCTAGAACTTTAATCACAGAAGTTTTTCCTAAAATAAGAAGTAATAAGTAGGTACATATGTTCTTCAAATTATTGTTGTGTTTTAAAAACGAAAGCAAATGCAAAACGACTTTATACATTTTTAAGCTAAAAAATAATATTTTACGTTGAGTAGGTCAGTAAGTGCACCTTAAGAAAAAGTATCTGACAAGCATAATCAATCACTATAGCCTGGGGATTCTTTCTGTTTCTGGTCTTGCCAGTGTCCGGCACTTACGGGTAGTTTGTTCATATCAATTTCCTTGTCTGTTGTGTGTGTGTGTAACCTTTGCTGATTGAATATTCACTCATTGTGCTCGCCACTTGTTGTTCCTTCAACCTTCGATTTGCGGTTTGCACTTCACACACACACACACACACATACGCTCTTACATACACTCGTATATGTACACATATATAGAAAAACTGACTTGCACGCCCACATGAACAAATGTCTTGCGGTCTTTGGGCTGCTGCACTTTGACCGGCTACAAATGCAAATAATCATAATTTAGAGTTCCCAGCGAAGGCAAAACCCCTAGACCAAGACCAAGATTCAGACGGGATGGGACGGGGACGGGACGAGATGAGGAGAGACGCGACGCGACGCGACGCGATGAAGACCGCTATGTGGCAGCGCCAAGAGCGCCGGCGGGCAACGTGACTTTTGTGCTATAATTTACGAGCGCGTTGCTTTGTGCAACAAGAAATAACATACTATATAGCGTAGAAGAACATACAGAGAAAAATATCGTGGCAGTAGGGCAGACAGAGCATAAAAAGTCAATTGGAATTAGCATAGACATAGCAGCATGTAGCAGCATAAAATGCACTTTAATGAAGTTCGAACACATTTTCAAGTTAACTCGGTCACTAATCTTTATGTGCACACCTTCGAGGCAGCTCGCTTTCTCAGCCTCCATCACCATCACCATCATCATCACCATCGCAATCGCAGTTCAGTTTTAAATTGAGGCTGGGCTGAGCTGGGAGTGGGACTGGCACTGAGACTAAGCGACTGAGAGACTAAGACAGAGACAGGGGCTAGTGGCTAGTGGATGTGACACAGCGCGCGTCTATAAATTTTATTGAGTTATAAAAATGTATAAAGATAACAGTTTTCAAATAGAAGCGCAACTCGAACGGTTCACATGAGTGTCGTGGGCATAACGGTAATTGGACGTGAGGGACACCATCCCAGCCACACATTGCAATAAAATCAACTTTTATCACACAAATACAACTACAAATACATACCAGCAATAGAAACTAAAAAGCACCCCAAAACTTCACCCAAATTCCAGCAATAGCAAAAAATAAAATTTAATAAAAATGAACCAAAGAAAATAATGGGGGTCCATAAAAAAATAATAACAACAACATCAACATCATCATAATACTCGTACCACTGCTACAAACTATTCGTAAAGGTCGCCACAGCAAGTGAAAATAGCAAACAAAAACAATAACAAAAACAACAACAGGAAAACGTTAAATGAAATGGAAGCACAGTCATAAAGGGCATTTTTTTCGGTAGCATTGCTTTGGTGTGCGACAAGCAAGTTCGTTGCCTAAGTCTTTCGTTTTCAAGTCATTTAAAGTGGAGCTCGTCCGTCCCGTCCGTCCGACAAGGCTTGACGCTTGGCGCGCACATTGAATGCGAATGACCGTGTGAACGTGTGAGCTTAGCCGGCCGGCTCGCACCAGATGTAGCACAATATACAACAACAATAACAACAACAACAGCAAGAACGACACAACTGCCTGCAAACTGCAAATAATAAAAAATTATATATATTATTTTGAAAAGAAGACAAAAAAGGAGGAGGGAAACAAAATTAAAAGAGAGCCGCTGGCATACTAAAAAAAAAAAAAAACTAAAACGTTTCGTTTTATTTCGTTTTGACCCCCAAAGTTCAAAGGTACACAGAGCAACAACGCGCGCTGCACTTCACGTCACTTTGCACAAACAAACATACATACTTACACACAAAATCACACTCGCACACACACCCAAACACACACATACACAGAAGTATATTATCAACGACGGCAACTACGCGAGAAGTCTTCAAAAAATAAAAACAAAACAAAAACAAAAGGAAGTAAAACATACAATAAGCAGTTGCAGACATTGCAACAACGACAACAACAAACATCTAACTGGGCTCTGTGAGAGAGCAGTCACAACAACAGCAATAGCAGCAGCAGCAGCAATGGCAGCGCTGCAATTTACGTCGACGTCGACGTCAACGTCGCCGGCAAAGACGCGACAACTGAAGATGAGAAAGAAACCTGCGCTTCTTCAACTTTTTACGGTTAAGCGGCTCTTAGCGGTAAGTGAATTTTTCATGGCTCTTGTGCAACTTTTGTGCACTTGCCAAACTTTTCATTTTCTTCTTCTTCCACCTTTTTGCAAACATTTCGAATTTTGGCAAATAGTACCATAAAATTGCAAAAAATGAAGCCAATAGTTTTTATGAACTTGTAATGCCCTGCACGAATAATAATTTTTTCTTGAGGCTAACTAGTTTTACGATAAACATAGGTATAGGCTTTTGGGTTACACTTGAAGAGGACCATTGTTGTGATACATAATTCGTTTGTTTTCATTCATCCATGTCCGCTTTAAATTTATGAATTTCGTTAGTTTCCAAAACTCCAGCTATACCACTCCGTCTCTATCGCGTCGCTAGGGCTTCGACAGAAATCATTGAATGGAATGCTAGGTCTGGCGGAATGTCTGCCTTGCTTTATTTTGAACCTCTTCAGTTTTAGGAGTGTTGTACTTCATATGACAGCCTTACTATAATTTGTACATCTGTACGGCAAGCTGCCTAGCGGCATCTGAATTCTATCCTTCTTAGAAGCGATGAGTGCGGTAGTCCCGCCCCTGGCCAATTGTTCAATCTAACTAAATGTTCCATACTATCCGTTCCGAAATTACAAGTAGCTAGCTAATGGGTTTTTTTTACTTCATACTGTCGGTGAAATAGGACAGCTATCAACGGATATTATTAATCGTTGAATTTATTCCACAATAGTTGTTTCTTAATCAAAATCACAAATAATATGGGTTTGAATCATTTTTCCTGAAGCAAGTATTTTGAATCTCCCTTCTCTAAAACGTATTTGTGTTAGAATCAACCGATAATCATCCGATCGTCCAGCTATATTGCAGCCAATTGTCTCTATGAAAACTTCAGTCCACGATATGGGATGATATGATATTTTCGAATTGATACTAAAACTGATTTATGACAAATCAAAACTATATATCGTGGTAGAATTTTGAGGCGTCACCAGCTAGAAATCGTTCTTTATAAACAGAGAGTGCGCAGAAAGCTGTTTTATTGCAAAACTAACTGAAAAGAATCGTAGACAGACAATGCTTTTGGACAAGAGTAGCTCAATTTGTCTCGTCTGTCGCTGCTTCCGTAACTAACTTGCATGTCTAACCTATAATACTCTTTTGTGCAGAGTATATGGAACCAAGTCAATGCCTTTAAGCCAGCTGGGCGTTGCCAATCTTTGTGCTAACTGAAAGTTGACCATAAACTGTCGCAATGCCGTTTTATTTTTAATGTTTCCGCTCTTGTCGTCGTTTAATTTAAACAAAAGAATGTTCACAAGAAGTGTCATATTTCTAACATACTTTTATATATTCTTTCTTTTATTTATATCATGTTTTTGGCACATTTTGCGGGGGCCTGTTCGTCACCTAGTTCTGTTTGATCGTGGGCCAACAACTTTGGTCTATCCGTACGAGTATGTGTGCTTCTCCAGTCGGCCATTGGGTCAGACGATGTTGAATGAAGATGATGGTGTGATGGTGATGTTCAGAGTAGTTGGCAGTTGCCAGTTGGCTGTTGTTGTAGTTGTAGTTGGCAGTTGCCAGTTGGCTGTTGTTGTAGTTGTAGTTGTTGCTGTTTGTTCTTTGTAAACGACACTTGAGCGCTGAGTAATGTAGGAATATTAAGTTAATATTTTTTTAGGCAAATGTGGGCGTTTTGCGCACAGCTGGGAACGCTTTTTTCCTGACCCAGTTTATTTAGCAAACTACGCAATCTTCAACTTCCGGACATTTGGACATTTGAAAGTTATGACAACTATTTGCGTTAGGGTTGGGTCATTTTAGGTGTTCAAGACTTTCTCACATATTCGCCGAAAGAATGGCTGATGTGAGTTGCACGATTTGCATAAAATATAGAATGGGACTGAGTTTTGATGATTAATAAAAACCTCTAGAAACTTTCAAATTAATTAATCCTATAAACCACAAACGCGATTTTATTGACTTATTTATGTGAAAATCGTAGTTATATTTTATAAGCATTGAGATCCAATTTTAAAAGCCGACTACGGTTTCTCTTACTGCGAGAGTCTTCCCATCGATATTTTAATTTTATATCGCAATGCATACGAGTATGCGCGTTTATAACGTTTCCCAAGAGTCGAGGGAGTCGGCCATTCAGTCAGTTAGTGAGTGAGGGGCAGCTAATAACAGACGCAACTGTCCACCTAGTCATTTGTAAGCGCTGCATGTAATCCATCTTAAGATGCACGAAAGTACACACATAGATATGTGTATGCAGTTTTTGTTTGTAAGCCGCCAAAACATCATTCATCAAGCTGAGCTTAGCTCGCTCGCTGCCTGCCTGCCTGCTGCTTTTTTAACAGTTTAAGCTTTTTTTCGTTTGGTTTCGTTTTTTTTTTTTTATCTACAATTTTACAATACGTATAGTATGTATAGAATGCGGCTGGCTCTCCTGTTGCTGTGCTAATGAAGTGGGCTGTGCGCCAATGCTGTTGAAGATCTGTGCGATCCAAGCTGCAGGAGATATGCGGCGGTCATCGTAATTTAGAATCGTAAAAGAACAGCAACAGCAAAAAATGTTTTCATGTTTTACAAATTACTTTCGTACTTCTCTTTTTTTTAATGATCGCCGGGCGCCAGACTGTCTGTTGACCTTTGGCCGACACAACCGGCTAACTGCAGCTCTGTGTGTGTCTGTGTGTGTGTGTGTGTGTGTGTGTGTGTGTGTGTGTTTGTGTGGGAGAGCTGCTTGCAGTCCAGGTCATAATGCACAAGAGGCGTATGAGTTATTTCAGAGGCTTAGGAAAAGAAAATGGGCAAATTGTTTTAGTTGAGACATTTACTTGTGGGCTGAGGTGATTTTTTAAAGCTAATGAGCTCTTTAAATTGATTAAAACAATAAGGAAGCTGAGAAAGTAGTACCTTACTTCTCGATTGATTTATGGGCGTATGAATTATTATTCATACAAGTTAAGATTATCAACAGAAGATGAACAATTTGTTGCTCAGTTGAATGGACCCCGTTAAATAGCTTAAATAGTTCCAGTGACAATAGTTCGGTTAGATTTTCAGCATTATCTGAGTCTAAACATTGCTACTGGAAAGATATTCTATACGTATGATATGCTGTCATAGGCAATACGTTCATAACTCAGGGAATATAGATTTCATTAATAAACAAATGATTCGTAAGTCATTCAATCAATCAATAGTTTCTTGGATTTAGTTCAACTATAATTGTTGTAAGTGTAATTACATTCTTTTAATTAAAATAATCCCTGAAAATAATACTCTCTCAGGACTAGCTTAATCAGAAAAAAATCAGTAATGCTTAAATTATTTATTGCTTCAAATTATTTAAAGAAACATTAAATCAAATCGACATGAATGATAATTTCAAACAAAGCTCTTCAAATTGTCGCAAATTAATTGAACGGCATTGGCCATTTGGCCTGCTTAGCCACTTTCTTTGAGCGCAGCATAAACGCAATTGCCGAAAAGTGGCAGAAAAGACGCAGACCACTTGAAAGGTGCTACCAGAAACTGTCAAAAAGAACAGCAACGGGCGGGAAGGCAGGCAGGCAATCAAGCTGGCAGGTAGATAGGCAGGCGGTAACGAAAGTAACTTGACTCGTTAGTGGGTCAACTTGCTTCACACACACACACACACATACACACAGATAGACAGACAAACACTCACATACTTGTTGACCACTCTAATGGACCACACTCACTGCTTCAGCAATAACAACAACAGCAGCAACAGCAACAACAACAGCAACAACAACCACATCAACAACATTAAGAGGCAGCACATTCTCTGCTCGTGCTCAAAAGCTCTCTAAAGGGTAATTAAAAAGTTTTTATTGACATTTTATTGATGCCAAGATGCCGCCACAGTGGCTGCGGATGCTGAGCCGTCCATTCTTTCCAATTCTAATTGCTAAGTAGGCTTGTGGTTGCTGCTGTTATTGCTGTCTATTGCTTAGCTCCAGGCTCTAAAAGATTCAAATTAGAAATTATGGAGGAGATTGTGGATGACTCTTCAGTTGTTGGTCGTGTGTTGAATGCGTCTCTTAATTCCTATTTACATATTTTAAAGTAGCAAAGAATGAATTTGAATTTGTGCTCAGTCATTATCAGTAGGCTATATCGCATGTCAATTGCATGAGAGGATGTAGAAAGCGATTATACGCATACATCTAATGTCGAGATATTACTTTAAAAATGTATTTAAGCTGTTCAGCCGCTAGGCTGCTGATACGCTCAATACGACGACTGCCATTGTAGAGCTATCCAAATGGCACTCTGGCTACTTGAACCTGTCGCGGATGCCAAAGAGCACAAGTTTTGCCACCTATTGTTGGCATAAGTTTTACCAATGACATGAGAAATCTGGGCTTAATACTTATTTGAATAACAATTATTATTTTTATTATAATATATTAGAATATTGCTGAGGGGGGTTATTAGATCGTAAAATGACGATCCACTTTGTATAATGTAAGCATTTTTATAGCCTGTACCCAAATGGTGAACGGGTATACTACTTTTGGCGAATGTATGTAACACACAGAAGGAGGCGTGGCAGACCCCACAAAGTATATATATTATTGATCAGGGTGACAAGCCGAGTCGATATAGCCATGTCCGTCCGTCCGTCTGTATGAGCGCAAGGATCTCAGAAGGTACAAGAGCTAGAATAACCAAACGGTGTCCAGATTCCCTTAAGCCCTAGGCAGGTCAAGTTTATTTTTTTATTCTGATATTATAATGTAACGATTTAATAATATTTGAATAAGAGGGTATTTTGGCATGGCGTGGTTGTAAGAAAAAGAAGAAGAAAGGAATGGAAGTAAAAAGTGTGCAAGAAGTTTAAATCGTAATAAAATAAAGCAAGCCGTTGCGAATAAAGCCTAAAATATATACGATGCTTACAGTTCGAAAGAAGTATTTTGATATCCAATTTCTCATGATCGTATTTATCTGTTGTAAGAAATGCACGGCGAGTCAAGCTGGAGTTTATTTATTATTTTATACACTATTAGTATCATTACTGAATGCAGTTCCAACTTTGAATATTTGATTGCAATGCATTTATAGAAAGATCTCTAATCTTTTATACTAGTCTTTTGTCATGAAAAAGTGATCAGCAGATTTCTTCGCTAATGAGTGGCAAGTCTTGCAAATCTTATCACATTTCCATCAGTAATACTCTGGCGGTTGTTAACTGTTGGCAACAGAGTTGCAGGCCAGTTTATTAACTATCTTTTGATGACACGCATCTTAGAAGTCACAGCTCAATAGATGCAAGGCTATCTTACAACTAAATAACTGTAAACTAATGTCTTAAGTTGTTAAATTTGTTAGCCAAACAAAATGGCAACAGCAACAACAACAACAACAACGGCAACATCCACCAAGATTCTTGGTCTTCAATTGCGTGACTGCGCTGCGGGAGTGACGATCGACAGCAGAAGCTTGGCAGCTTCAGTGTCAGCCTCCGGGACAAGTTCAGCTTTAGCTTTAGCGTTAGCTTCAGCGTTGGCGATCTCTATCTGGCGGATTGTGTCTGTTTTATGCTGTCATTGAATTTTATGCGTCAACAATTTGCGCGCCAAAAAGAGAGAGAATTACAGAATTAAATAAATCAGACAACGTGGTACCGTTTGGCGATCTTATGCTAAACTCAGTTACTTAACAGTCTGGCGCGTACTGCGAGTACAAGTACGAGATACAAATGCTGAACTACTAAGCGTGCCGTGTGATGTAAGCGAGTCGAGTGTACACACACCGCTATTTGTGGCATCCACCGAAGGGTGAACGGCAGGGGCAACACAGTAACAGTTGGCATAATTAATGGCGTGTGGCAGCCCAGGGAGTGCATTGCACTCTGTGGCGCTACTACCACAAAATTCTACTTATTTATTAACATTTTATGCTGAATTCTATTTCTATTTCCACTTCTACCACTTCTTCTTCGCCTACTTGTTCAACTTCTGTTTTTCTTGGTCTAACTGCAAAACCGAAATCAAACAGCAACATCAACGGCAACAACAACAGTAACAACAACAACAACAACAACAACACTGGCAATAAAACGCCGTACTTGCCTGTTGTAGTACCCTTGGCTGAAATGGTTTTAATTATAGCCCAACTTCCAACTACAACTCAAAGCCGATGCCGATGCCGATGCTGATGCCAAAGACTAGGTACGGGTTCAGCTCCCAGTATGTTGTTGTTCTGGCTGTGACTGTCCGTCTGTCTGTCTCTCTCGCTGTCTGTTTGCTGTGTCTGCCGATGGGCGTGTGTGTTGGCAACTGTTAATTTTGTTTTACAACTTTTTGTATCTTGTATCGCAGTATCTATAACGTATCGTCTATCTTCGTAACTGTCAGTTAAAACAAAAGCCAAACACACAGACACCAGAACACAAGCGAGCGTCTTACATGAAATTCATTCATAAAAATAGTCAATGCTATAGTTTTGTAAAATCGACTTTCAAATGCTCTTTCTTTATTTCACTTTTGCTTTATTTTATGTTCGATATGTTCGATAAATCTTAATGTTGTTTATACTTTACAGAAAAGAGAAGAATAATGATCATTTTTAAAAGCTCTCTATTCATATTCATATTATGAAAAATTTGATAGAGTGGGAGAAATAAGAGATGGAGTGTCCATCGGCACATAATCCCATCTGGATATAAGATAAAAGAATCTAAATACAAAATTTCAAAACTCTAGAAATTCTATTTTTCAGAATAAAGCTGTTCATACATGCAAACGTCAATGCAATGCCATTTAATTTAATATTTCATATTATTCATAAAAATTAATAATGATGGAAAAATGTGAACATATTTACCAACTCGATATGTTCGATAAATCTTAATGTTGTTTATACTTTACAGGAAAGAGAAGAATAATGATCATTTTTAAAAGCTCTCTATTCATATTCATATTATGAAAAATTTGATAGAGTGGGAGAAATAAGAGATGGAGTGTCCATCGGCACATAATCCCATCTGGATATAAGATAAGAGAATCTAAATACAAAATTTCAAAACTCTAGCAATTCAATTTTTCAGAATAAAGCTGTTCATACATGTAAACAAAATATCATAATTTCAAGAAAAATCTTCAAATTCCATGACTTATTTATTAACTTCTTTGCAGAGGTAAATAAATAAAATGTTATTTAGCTCTGACAAGCAGCCGCAACTTTCAATACAGTCTTCTCTAAATATTTTGTGCAGTGTATTAAGCTTTGCCTTAGAATTGTCTAGTTAGTCGCTGCAGTGAAAAACGCTCGCGCGATTTTCGGACCACAAAAATTAATTATAGAGCAGAGCATACATAATACGAGCCCAAACGAGCACATACTCGTACATTTTTATGGATGTATTGTTGGTCCACTTCACTTCAATTCACTATTGCCTATAGTTTGTTTTCAATCTTGACCATGGCCAGCTGTTTATGGCCCGGGCTTACAGTTATTCCGTGCGCTGTAATAATTAGCTGGGATTCTGCTAGTTTTATGTCTTACTACAGACATACACATACACATATATACATACATATACTTGTATAAGCATACTTTTCTGTGAGTTTGTGGCTCTGTGCAAATTTTATGCTAGAGCGCGCATTCGCAGCTAATTGATGTTGAAACGCTTTGGAAGCTATGAGAACTATGTATGTAATTGCAATTTCATAATGATAGACATAATTCCTATATTTCTTACAGCTACTTCTGCTCAACATTATAATCCACAATGCGACGTCAGCGCAGGCGCTTGAGCTGGGCTCCAAATGTCAGCACGACATGGACTGTACAGATTTCATCAAGGGCAGTAGTTGCTCGACTCAGGGGTACTGCGAGTGCGCGCCCTATTTCGTCCAATTCAATGCGACTAGCTGTTTGTCATGTAAGTATGCACGTCTATTCAATTATTCTGGATGTACAATAGGTTCTTGTAGATTTATTTTAGTAGTTTTTATAGATTCTGCATTTTCCGCAGTGCTTCAGATTTGAGTATAAACTGCTTACCAGCCTATCACATTTTCAAGAACATTGTTTTGGGTAAAACTTTTTAGGTTTTAAACTATTGAATGATCTGATTTTTGCTTAGTTTTTATCTTTAAACAAATTTCATATTTTTGTATGAAAGAACATCAAAAATAAAATTGTATTAAATATTTAATGAATGATTTATCGAAAGTAGAAAAGTGACTCTATATTTTAAATCAAATGTTAATTCTAGACTAGGACATATTTACATAAGAAAAATGAACAGTTAGAATTTGAAACAAAAGTTAAAGTATTGCGAAATTATACTTTTTAAAGATTATTATTGTTACCCATCAATATCATGTATTGTAAACACTTAAGAAAGCTGTCTACATTTTTTGTGAAAGCATTTTCTGACAATATGAAAGACTGTTAAAAGCCTATAACCATCAACGATTTAAAAGGAATTATTAATTTGTATTTTCAATATATTTTAATCAACCTAAGCAATTCAATTTTTTAGTTATATTTTCAGTTTGAAATCTTGAAATGCCCAACGAGAATCCATACTTCAATAAATATAGATAGATAGATAGATAGATAGATAGATAGATAGATAGATAGATAGATAGATAGATAGATAGATATATAGAAGGATAGATAAATATGTTTAGTTTTCTAGATATAACTAAATTTACAAGTAAGTAAAGTAAGTAAACCGATTTAAATTTAAAATCACTTCAGAATCGAAAGAAATGACACATATTTGGGTGTTTAACGAGAAAATCGAATGAGGAGGTAAATCACAGAAATTTGTGTGAAATTTTTTCTGAAAAGAATCACTTTCGGACCAGCCCGAATACCCGACTAAACAATGCTTGCTTACCCCAAAAAATAGTTTGACACTTGACATAACCTCATTAGCCGTGAATATATATACATATGCGTGCATATGTTTGTATGTGAGTTTGTGTTGGCAAACATCAGGTGAATGCATTTTTGGAATGTCTAGGCAAAATGTTTGTTTCAAACAAATAAAAAGTTGGTGTGTGTATGTGTGTGTGTGTGTGTGTGCGTGTGAGGGTCGCCTACGCGGCTTATGCTAAACGCACCTTTGTTGACAATTGACAAAGGCCTGGCTAAAGAATCTGGCATAATGTTTGCTTAAACTATTGAATGATCTGATTTTTGCTTAGTTTTTATCTTTAAACAAATTTCATATTTTTGTATGAAAGAACATCAAAAATAAAATTGTATTAAATATTTAATGAATGATTTATCGAAAGTAGAAAAGTGACTCTATATTTTAAATCAAATGTTAATTCTAGACTAGGACATATTTACATAAGAAAAATGAACAGTTAGAATTTGAAACAAAAGTTAAAGTATTGCGAAATTATACTTTTTAAAGATTATTATTGTTACCCATCAATATCATGTATTGTAAACACTTAAGAAAGCTGTCTACATTTTTTGTGAAAGCATTTTCTGACAATATGAAAGACTGTTAAAAGCCTATAACCATCAACGATTTAAAAGGAATTATTAATTTGTATTTTCAATATATTTTAATCAACCTAAGCAATTCAATTTTTTAGTTATATTTTCAGTTTGAAATCTTGAAATGCCCAACGAGAATCCATACTTCAATAAATATAGATAGATAGATAGATAGATAGATAGATAGATAGATAGATAGATAGATAGATAGATAGATAGATAGATAGATAGATAGATAGATAGATAGATAGATAGATATATAGAAGGATAGATAAATATGTTTAGTTTTCTAGATATAACTAAATTTACAAGTAAGTAAAGTAAGTAAACCGATTTAAATTTAAAATCACTTCAGAATCGAAAGAAATGACACATATTTGGGTGTTTAACGAGAAAATCGAATGAGGAGGTAAATCACAGAAATTTGTGTGAAATTTTTTCTGAAAAGAATCACTTTCGGACCAGCCCGAATACCCGACTAAACAATGCTTGCTTACCCCAAAAAATAGTTTGACACTTGACATAACCTCATTAGCCGTGAATATATATACATATGCGTGCATATGTTTGTATGTGAGTTTGTGTTGGCAAACATCAGGTGAATGCATTTTTGGAATGTCTAGGCAAAATGTTTGTTTCAAACAAATAAAAAGTTGGTGTGTGTATGTGTGTGTGTGTGTGTGTGCGTGTGAGGGTCGCCTACGCGGCTTATGCTAAACGCACCTTTGTTGACAATTGACAAAGGCCTGGCTAAAGAATCTGGCATAATGTTTGCTTAGACAAACTCACACACACACACACGCGCACACACACACGCGCACAGAGCCAGACGCACAGGTACCGTTAGCTTCATTAGGCCACAACTTCAAACTGAATGTAATCTGTGCTCTTCTACTAGTATTTGATTTATTTATTCTTTTCAGCACAACTCTTGGGAGGCGATTGCATGTTGAGCGAGCAGTGCACCATGAAGGTGGCCAACAGCAGCTGCCTGGATGGCGCTTGTCGTTGCGTCGAAGGATTCCTGCAATTCCGCAAACACACGTGTCTCGGCCGTAAGTACCAACAGCCCGTGCACGAACTGGTCACGAGTGGGGCCCTCTAGAAATGCCAGGGAATGCCATTACAATTCCATTCGATTCCTTTTGTTAATTAACAATAATAACATAAATACGTTTATTGGTGTTTGGCTAATTGCAATAAATACAATATCTGAAGTGTATTGAAAACAAAAAAACAAAAAACACAAAAAATGCAGAAGAATGATGAGAAAACCAACAACAACTGAAACTAATTTACTCATTTTAACACGCAACTCTATGGATTAGAGCTGATGTTCTAGTTCACGCCATTTGGTTTGTGTCTGCAGAGTGGGTTCTGTTCTGGTTCTATTTGTCGATTTTCTTTCTGCCTTCGTTAACACACACACACACACACAAAGACACAGACTCTTGTTGCTACTCTTCCCCGTTTTGCCAGTCATCCACCACTAAGCTATTGGCTTACAATTTTCCTTTCTTTCATGCGTCGCTCTTTTCCACAGCTTGACACAAGCAATTAACATGAGCATAACAACAAAAGCAACGACAACAGCAACAACAACAACAACAACAACAGCAACTAGAGCTAACAAGACAATCGTGTTACTAATTATACGCATAATTGGTTAATTTTCTTAGAACGCTGCCAACAAATAACAACAAAAACACCAACAGCAAAAATGTGTAAAGCATTTTCGTTATTTTATACTCTATTCCGATGAATTGAAAGAAAAAGCATTCAACATTTCTAGGAATGCACGTAACACTCTGAGGAAATGTCGCCCTTAGATAAACAGACACATCCATTTTTTTTTTTTTTTTTTTTGCCATAGACACCATTTGGAGATTATCCATTTCCAGTAATTTTTATCCGACCGTAAAAATAGTTTCTGTTTTTTTTTTTATTTCTGACAAACTATCGGACTATAAAAATACTTCCATGAAACGGTTGAAAAGTGTGTGTTCCAATGGCAGGTTGTCCCCCATAGGTTTAAATACCCGATAAATTAAATCTAAACCTCAAAGAGTAAATCACTTCATAATTACTAAGTATAAAAGACACGTTTCTGAAGTTATTATTTTGACTGACAAATAGAGTACAAGTCTTTCAAAAAACAGTTCCAAGCTTATTTAATTGTCTATTAAAGCTCGCTGTTATACTCATCATAAAGATAGGGCTTTACAATTAAAATTTTTTTACAATTAAAATGTATGTATTTTTTGATTAAATTGCAAAAAATGGGCTTCATAAAAGAACACAGTAAAACCTATTATAACAATTGAACCTTTGATATATTGATATGTTTTTCTTACATTTTAACGCTTACAAAGGTGCGCTTGATCACCATTAATTAAAAAGGATTTGTGATTCAAATTGAAAATTTAGCAATTGAGATTCCCTAAGTATCATCATAAAGTTATAGAATTTCAAATTGGTTGTAAAAAGTAAGAGCTATGCTTAGCCTATAATAATGCCTTTAAAAACAATATGTTTTATTATGAACAAAATTATAAACGTGAAACCGATAAAGGCCAGCTCATAAATATTAATTTCGTTATTTGTTTCGAAATAGAATAACATTATATATCCAGTATCTCTAACTGCGATAGTAAGCTCTCAGAATAATAAGCCTACAATGACTACAGAGCATTCAAAAGTCAGTCTCTCGATAAAAGCAAAGTTCTCACAAGTTTATTTATTTTTTGTTTTGTTATTCCTAACTGGTCTTTGTACTTGTGCCGTTAAGTATCTTTTAAAAACATACAATGCCCTCTCAATAAGCTGCTAAGTTGTAAGTAAGCGTTGGCTGCACTTCACATGCTCGAATGGATTGGAAGGGGCGAGGAGGGGGAACAACATCGAAAAACATTCGAAACATTGTCACAGTTCGACTTTAACACATTGGCGCCAAATGGCGTTAATCTGATTAGAATGTTGCACACAGGTGAATGCAGTCAGCAGGCAGGTAGCCCATTGCCACGATGATGATGATGACGATAATGATAATGCTGTTGGTCATGGAGGTACGAGGAGTACGCTCGTTCGTACATTGCGGTACATTTTTGTGTGCACTCTAAGTTTGCCCTGCTGCTTAGGCGCATTGTGCAACCTGCACGACATCGCCATCAGGCATCAGACAAGAGGCATCAGACAAGAGGCATTAGCATCGACATGAGACAGAGTTTGGTTGCTCTGCTCCAGTTCGTGTCTTCGACATTCACCTGTTTTTCATTTTACGTACTCGCACATTTTTTATATTATTTTATTTTTTATTCTCTTTGGCATCTTAATTATAGAGTCATTTTAATGCCAAAGCCTTCTAATGGGCGTGGCACACATGATTGGAGGACCGTTGCATTTAATATTTCATTAAATCCATTTTAATGTCAAAACAAATGGTGCAGTCTTCCTGTTCAACTATAAGTATTTATGAGTTACTTTCACAAAACAAAAGGGAGGGTAAATGAAAAATATATTTTAAATAACAATGAAGAACCTTTCACCAATCAGCGCAGATCCTGCAATTCTTCTTTTTTGTTTTGTTTTTGGTTGCGATTCATATCTTGGGCAACTGCTTTACATGCCTAATTGCTAAACGAGCTGCTGCCCCTTTTCTGTAATTAAATTGCACTAATTATGCGCCAAGAAGAACAATAAAAAAAAGCGCAGCCACAAAGAAACAAAAATGTCAAGTGAAAGAAAGCATGGCAAAGAAGTCTAAAGCAGCTGAAGAAAGTCCAATTAGCAGAACAGCTGGCCAAGAACTTGCAGCTTTTTGCCTCTTTAGTTGACAAACTTCGGCAAGGCAAGGCAAGGCAAGGCAAGGCACACATATTGGGCACGGCCACGGTTTAAGGCCCGTTCACTTAGGTCTCGGTATCGGTCTCGGTCTTGGTCTTGGTCTCTCTTTACTTGCTACATTGGGTCAAACAAGTGCTGCCGTTTGTGCCAGATTTGGTGGCAGGCTTTCGCTGTTTTATGTCGTTGTCGTTGGTTGTCGTCTCTGTTGTTGTCCACAGCCACTTGTTCCAGTTTCTCATGCACCTTAACCCAGGCCCAAACCATTCCCATGCCCACTCCCGTTTGGCCAAAATGTTTTATTGTTGTTGTGCCTCGTACCTTTCGCATACTCGTACATATCTGTCTGCTGCTTGCTTTTTTAACGAGCTCTAACCCAAAGCTACTGCTCGCTGCAGCTCGTCATTGCAACTGCAACTGCAACTGCAACAGCCACTTGGCTGGTCAAACCCTGTAATGTTATGAGTTATGTGCCTTCCTTGTACTTCCCATATGATGACAATGTCCACAATACATATGTACATACGTGTATGTACAGACGAGTGTGCAGCAAAAGTAGCGCTTGCTGTTGTAAGCCAAGAAGAGAAAAGTATGCCAACATATGCAGAACCAGATAATGAACAGATAGGCCACAAAAGAATGACAACAGCCAACAGAGACTGAGACTGAGACTGCAGCAATAACAATTGCCACAATCTCTGTCAGCATTTGCATACTAAGTTGCAGAAAAGTGAAGCCGATAAGCATATCTGCCGCAGCTTTATGGACGACTGTGCTGATTGATGTTGCTACTAGTAATGGATTGATAAAGTACGATAAGCCAAGGTAACACACTCCAGATAATGAGCATGGATCATCAGCCAGAAATTAAAGTGATCGGTTTATTTACTAGACTAGGGAATCAAATGATCACTGCGATCCCCAGGAATTTCGATCTTTAAAGATCTTCTCAGTTTCTATCTTCCTTTCTGCGAGAAAGCCAAACAATTAACCTAAACAGCAACAGTAACATTTTTGAAATCATAAACTTTAATCAAAGAACATCTATCTGATCATGTTTTCACATACTACATATAAAGTTATTTATATTTATGTCACTCCACCAAAAACGGTAAATTCTTCAAATAAAATGGGATCAAGAAATAGAGTTTAAATTTCAATATGTGCTGAACTGTGAACAAAAGCTTTTAGGGTTAACTAGTCAACACTAATTAAAGGGATTAATAAATGTATCACTTAGTGCGATCTTTTTCTACATGCCTTAAATTGATTTTTAAAATGATCAACCAATGCTGTTAATTAATTAATTAATGTAACAATCACTAAACAATCACTAAGTTTATGTTCAATAAAAAAAGTGGTGACATAATTATGGGAAATTTGTCAAAATCGGTTTTATGTTTCATTAACTGGAACGACAATTTTTAAGAGCGTGCTGCCTCTTCATAATGACTAGTAGCTGATTAAAAAGATTAAGTGAATAATGAATTAAGTAATCACTGCACATTACTCAACTCATTTAGCTAACAAGGCTGGGAATACACGTTTTAATCATGAACGATCAGTGTTCGAAAATAAGGAAATGTGAGTCTAAAATTATGATTGATTGAAATCATTTGTATGCAAATAAATAGAAATTGTTGATCAGTTCTGAGAAGCGCAAATCTATGATAATTGCTGGAAAAATTTCTCATGACCACATTTGGGGCATTGACATTGACCGCCAAACCGTCTTCAGTTTGCGTCATCAGCCCAAGAGTCCGCACTACGACCAAATGCGAAATTGCATGCAAATTAGAACGTGGTTGCCGCAATAGACGCAAAGTCATAAAATGTGGCCACTTCCGCAACCAATAATAAAATACAAAACACACAAAGAAATAGAAAATAAAAATATACATACATACACATACATAGAAGTATGAAAGAAACACAAACATGTGTACATAGTTGAGGCAAATGCATGGAAAACTGGCTGTCGCTGAGACAACTCAATTGGCTGAAAACGTACAGAAAAGTGGAAGTCGAGGAGACACCTGTTGAGCCCGAGCCATGCCCAAATGCAAATTGCGCCAATTAATTAAAAATATTGATGCTTTTTCATTTACTTATTAAAGCTTACTTGTATTAAAGCCGCAGGAATGCGAGAGCCAGCTGAGGAGTCTCAGCGGAAAGAAAAGAAAAATGCTCAGCTGGAATGGAATTTTTATTGCAAGTGCCACACTTTTTTGTGGCAACAATAACAACAACAACAACAACAACTGCAGTTGATGATGCTCTCTGCCAGTTGACATACATTGAGAATTCCGGCCGCCGACGCCAAAAAGTCAACAATGTTGCCGCCTAGAAAGCGCAACAGAAGCGAAGCAGGCAAGAGACCATCAATGCGACAAGCGTAGCTGGCAATTTAATTTATGTTGATTTTGATGAAATTATTGTTTATTGCGAATCCACACACACACACTCAGAAGGACAGACACATACATTTGGCGCACAATCGCGCGCTTGACTTGGTTAACATTTTCACACGCGCACATCGTTGCGCACAGCAAGAGACAGAGAGATGCATAGAGAGAGAGAGAGAGAGAGAGAGAGATGGAGAGAGAGGAGGAAGAAAAAATAATCAAAGTGGGTTACCAGATGCAGTCGTGCAACATTTGCCGCATGCTGCATGCAACCTGTCACACCAGTGTAGAGCAGAGAGGGGCCGTTAAGTGGCCATGGCATTGCCTTTAGACTATCGATCATTTTGCAGGCAGAAGGCAGAAGAAAAACAGCGGCGTCGTCACAGGGTGGTCCATTACTGTTGTTGTTGTTGTTGCGCACATAAAAGTGAAAGATGTCAGCCATTTCAGAATTAACTGAATTCATATATACTCGTCTGTCTGTCTGTCTGTCTGTCTGCATGTGTGTTTGTTTGTTTGTTTGTACCTTCCATATTGGTGTCAAATGCAATGAGACATGCTAGCTGACTCGCATTCGCAATGACATTGTCTTTGGCATTGTCATTGTCATTATCTGCCATGCCCATGTCCATGTCCATATCCATATCCATGTCGTTCGTTAAGTATACGCCACGTATGTACTTACATATATGCGCATTTTTTGTCCACTATGAACCGGTTTTGCAAATGGCACCGGCAAAACGTTTGTGAAATGCCGACAAGGAGCAACGACAACGCTTGACTCTCGGCTTCTTGTCTGCTGTCAGCTGAAGCTGCTCCTGGGGGATTTGGTGGCAACTTCAAATTCAGTTTGCTGCTGCTGCATGCCACACAGCAAAATTGGGACGCATGCTCACCGAAGTAGCTTAACCTAATAGTAGTAGGTGGGGGCAAAAGTGTTTTGACAAATTTAAATGAGAAGGGAATCAAATACAAGTAATTGATAGTTAAATGTTTGAAATCCCAAAGTATTTTCACAAATTAAAATGAGAAGGGAATCAAATAATTAACAATTAAATGTTCGAAATCTCAAAGTGTTGCGACACATTTAATTGAGAAAGGAATCAAATAAATTATAATTAATTGTTGGAAATCTCAAAGTGTTGCGGCAAATTTAATTGAGAAAGGAACCAAATAAGATATTCAAAATCTTAAAGATTTTTACATTCAATTTGTTGTTAAGCTTTAGCTTTTTTAATAAACATTTTTTATAAGATTATTAGAAAGGGAACTGAATTTGTGCTTATAAATACAAAAGAGCCAAATTGTAGCTCATGTTCTAAACGAGTTTGCTATAAAGCAATTAATTTCTAATAGTTTCGTGCGATGGTAAGCTTTTTGTAACTAGCACCAAGAATATTTTAGTAAATTCTGTAACATTTCTGAAATTTTAGACATCTTTGCACTGTACTTCTTAAGTTCGTAATAAGCTTTGTATTTATTGATCCTTGAGTTAATAGTGCTATATATCGAAGCAGGTGAAGTCTGCAATAAATATAAGAAATGTTCAAATAACAAAAGAGCTCAAAAGAGTATTGGGGGCCAATACATACTTGTAGTATTCCAAATACTAACTTCAAAATAGTTAATGAAACTAAACTAACTTAGGAAAGTACGACAAATCGGTTAATCATAAAAACAAAATAAAAAGGATTAACCACGCATACATATGTAATGGTTACTGATTAGAGTACTAGGACTCAATGTTTATTGTCATGTCAAATAATTTCATAAACCACTCCTACAGCCACATAGTGGTTTCATAAGGCTCTGAATTCAATAACTTATGCTATCTTTTATCTTTAAAGCAAATATTAACTACAAACAATAACAATACACATGCGTAAAAAAAAATAGTGAAATATTATTATTGCTATCAATTATACATATCAAGGATCAAAATACATATCTTCAAAGATAGTGGAAACACAACATAAGTCGTATTCGAATACTCAGTGTAGTTCACACTTAGTGCTATGGATTGGGTTGCCTGACTAGACATTGCCCTTAGGGCCATATTAAAGCCAACACTAGGTAGGCAGCCAACGAGCTAGCACGCCAAGCAAGATGCAACCAACGACAACAAGTGCGGATGGAAGCAGTCTCGATGGTAATGGCTTGCCACGCCAAAAACGTTGCAAGTGAAAACAAGTTGAGCGCCTGCAGGCGGCCATACCAAGCAGCCTCAGAAGTGGGTCACCAAAGACGTTGACTGAGATTCAGACGCACGCAGGTGCAATGCGGCAAAAATGCAAGCAAACTATGCGCAGGCGCACCATTTTTGGGTGCGGGGAGGCCACAGTTGCTGTGTTGCTCACCCCATTGTTGCCGGAATAATGTGGAGGGGGAATCGGGGGATTTGTGGAGGCTTCGCGTACATGGTTGACGTTGACTTTATTGACGGTTATTAGGCATGTCGAAGGCGGTCTAATATGCTTCTCAGATGGTTGGGGCATGGCATAATAACAACTAGGCCCGGGTGCTTGTGCTGGCGCCCATGTTGTTGCCATGGTTATTGCTATTGCTGCTATTGCACTTGATGATGATGAGTTTTTAATATGCATTTGGTGCTGAACGTAGCACGGTTAACTTAATAACGCTTTATCGTATGCGAAAAATATAAAGCTTAGAGAAACTAACCAACAAATACTCTACCGATACACTTCCTACGTATTCTCATTTGAAATCAAACTCACTTTTCTCCTCCATTGCTCCCTTCTTTATACTCCACAGCTGCACATCCTGGCGCCGTTTGCTACAGCCACGCTCACTGTCAAATGTTCGAGAAGCGGACGCATTGCGATTTTCTGATACCGAATCTCTTTGGACGTTGCCAGTGCACAGCGCCGGCCCGCATGGTGGGAGGACTTTGTGTAGCACCAGAGACGGCCGCAACGCCAGAGGTGGAGCAGCCCATAGAGAAAGTGGAGCCAGTAACGTCCACAACGACAACAACGACGACAACACCCGAACCAACAACTGCGCGTACAACAACCAGCTCGACAGCTCCCACAACAACATCGACAACCACAACCACCACAACGACTACCCCAGCGCCACAGCAAGATGAACTGCCCGCCAGCATAGAGGAACAAACCTTGGAGGAGGACGACAGCGATAATCTTAAGCTGACGCCACTACAAGTCTCTGATCTGGAGAACGGCGAGAAACTGGAAGCCATAGACCTGGCACATGAGGAAACAGAGTTAACCCATCAACAGGAGCATGAAATCCAAGAAGTGGAACCGCAATCCACAGATAGCGCCACAACCGGGTCTCAGCAATTGTTAACACCCGCCGATGTGGCCACTGAAGCTCTGCCCGAGCAAGAAACCGAAGGTGTGCCCACAGAAGACTATCCCTACAAAATCGACGAGGAGTACACTGAAGAGCATGAGACGAAGCACGAAGCGGAGTCCGATGTAATAGCTCAAGAAGGTGGCATCGAACCAGTTGCGATCGAAGATGAAGAGCTAGAAGCTTCAGGGGGGCAAGAAATTGCGCCACAGTCCATAGATAATACCATGAAATTTGATTATGAAACTGCACAAGATGAGCACGACGAGCAACAGCAGCCACAAGAGCCACAACAGCCACAGTTAGCCACAGACCCAGACCTAGAGAAGGTAGAGGGTGCAGAGGCGGCAGTAGTAGAGCCACAGAATATTGTGGAGACAGAGACGATGCCCGAAATCAGCGGAACAATTGAACAAGACGAAGAGCACGCTGGCGATGTGCAGGCAACCACGCAAATCGCAGAGCAACAGCACCTGCAGCTGGAGGATGAGCAAGAGGAGGAGTTGGAGGCGGCGGGAGCTCAGGCGGCTGTTGATGAATTGATACCCGTGCATGACGGCGATGACAAGCTCAAGCTCGAGGCTGAAATCGAAAGTGTGACAAATGTGCCAGAGACTGAGCCGCAGATAGTCGAGAAGTTGGATAATGCGGGCGAGCAAGTCGAGGTGGAGCCAACAGAAGCAGCTGTGGAAGTTGTAGAAGCTGTAGAGCCTGAAGATGCTGAGGAACAATCGGGTGATCACGAAGCGCCGTTAGAAGCAGAAGAAGAAGAAGAAGAAGAAGCGGCTGAAGAGACGCAACAAGTGCCACAGTCTGACGTCACGACCACAACGATTTCCAATGCCGCTGAAGTGGCAACCGCTGCAGCTGTTGCAGCAAATGATGGGAAGACAACAGCAGAAGATGAAATCAAGTCAGAGCCCGCTGTAGCAATCATAGACGAGCCAACAAGATTGCCCAGCGAAAGCGCCGATGCTGCGACTGATCAAGCGGAGCAAGCTGCAGTGGAGAAAGACGACCACGAGATACTAGAAGAGACGAACGACGCCGAAGAAACGTACCCAGCCACAGAGGCCACAAACGAACAGGAGAATGCAAATGAAAACGTGAACGAGGATCAGCCGAATGAGAATCAGAATGAGGATGGGAATGACAATGGGAATGAGAATGAGAACGAGAACACACATGAGACTGAGACTGAAATTGATCAGGCAGAACAAAGCGCCGACATCAAGCCGACAAGTGGCGAAGATGATTTAAATGAAGTCAATCAATTAAATCAAGAGGCCGTCGAACAGACGCAAGAAGAGACGCCAGCCAAGGAGCAGCAATCGGAGGAGCAGAGGCCAACTGAAGAGTCTGTGAAACTAGATGAAGAAATGCCAGTAGCAGCTACAGAGCCACCACAAGCTACCGAAGTGGTTCAACAAGTGGAGGAGGGCGAGGCTGAGATGCCAATCAAAGAAACAGCAGCAGCAGCAACAGCAGCAGAGGAACAGCCAACAACAGTGGAGGAAAATCCACAGTCACTAATCGAACACAATGAGGAGGAGGACGTGGAGGAGGAGGCGGCGGACGATCAAGAGGAGAGTGCCGTGCCAATCACTGAAGCAGCGCCGATTGCTGCGGACGCAGACGCAGACGCGGACGTGGCCGAGCCTGAATTGACATACCCAACAAATGATGATGAATTGGCGCCACAAATCGACGATCAGCAACTCGCAGCCGACGATGTGGACGAGGAGGCAGCAACCGAGGAGGCGACACCAGCCACAGTTGATGAACAACAAGAAATTTCTAATGCCAATGCTGAGGTTGTCGAGCAGGCTGAGATTGCGGCAGCAGCGACGACGACAGAGCAGGCAGCTATACAAAAAGTGGACGACGTTGAAAACGACGATAACGACGAGGCGGCAACGCAAAATGCAAATGCAATTAAAACGCCTGAAGTGTCGGAAACAATTGCAGAGCCCCCAGCGATAGCTGCTGCTGCTGCTGCTGCTGCTGCTGAGGAGGAGCAGGTGAATGGCACGGAAACTGAAAAAGAAACTGTGCTGGAGGTAAGACAAATGTAATTTAAATTAGTTCTCTAATTTCTTTTCGACTCGTCTATTCGAGTTTAAACTAGATTATCTAGTGAAGAATCCAAGTGAGATACCAGTTGGTCAAGAAAGTGATATTCAAGAAATCAATAGCTTACTAGCCTCAATACGCAAATACGCTTTAGAAATCACTTTTATTTTCTTTGAATTTACTGTTCACCGGTTAACTAATTATTAAAGTTCGCCAGGGTTCTAACAATTAATTACTTTTCTTTTAGAATGAAGAAGAACCGATCACTGAAAAAATAGAAAGTGCTGAGACTGCTCTGGAAAGCGAACAACACAACGAGGAACAACTTGAAGATGACTTATTTAAAAATGAGATTGATAACATCATACAAGGAGCCGAGCCTGAACCCAGCCTAGAGCAACAGACAGAACCCATCAATCAGCTGGCTGCAGAAAACGAAACTCCCGAATCCCAGGTCGTTGCGGAAGAGCAACCCATTCAACAGGACAACACACAACAGGAAGCTCTCGATACAAATGAAGAGCATCCAGCTGAAGTAGAACAACAAGCAATTGTCGAAGAAGCTCCTGCAACTGAGTCCGACTACACGAGTCTAGAGGACTTTACACATCCTGAGGAGGAGAAAAAGCAAAGTGCTGAAATCGCTGAAGAACAGGATCAAGAGACAGCCACAACCGCCAAAGTTGAATCCGAAGCTGAGCAGGAAGCTGAAGTCACTGCAGCACCTGCTGCAGAGCAATCAGCCGTTGAGCCAGTCGCCATTGTCAGCGAGGAGGCGGATAAGGAAGAGGACTTCAAGGAGAGCCAGAGTATTGCCGACATACTAAGTGATCTGATAGAAGAGGCTGATAGTACAGTGCCACCGGTACCATTTGGAGAGCAGCCAGTCGCAACCCTGCCATTATTTGCGAATACAGAGAACGACGGACAAATGCCAGGCATACCAGATCTGTTCGCCGAAGAAGCACAGCCTGTTGAGATCGCTGAACGAATTGATGCCAGTGTCGCAGAAGAAAACGATGAAACATTAGCACAAGAAACGGTTGAGCCTCAGGAAAATGGCACACCAGCTCCTCAAGACAATGAACAGAATACGGAAACAACGCAAGAAGAAAGTGAAGGTCAAAGGGATGAAGAAGAAGCCACAGAAACGATACCGAATGAGAATGACAAACTCATTACCTTCTACCCTGAAATGTTCGACCCTATATCGGAAACAGAACAAGAGCAGAAGATATCGCAAGCTATTTCTGAAGGACAGGCCGAGCCAGAGGTGGAGACTGTAGAGGCCACCACAGTTCTTGCTGCCGCTGATGTCGAATCAGAGCCCGAACGTACGCTGTCGCCTGAAGAATTACCCTTCGACCTGTCCGACCACTCCAACACAATTCGACTTCAGGAACTTGAATCCGACAACCTCATCCTAGAGTCCACTACACTGGATACACTGCTGGATGGCAATAATCATATCGAGAGTGAGACTGCTGCGCCGGCCCAACCACAGCTGCCCAATGAAGAGGCTACGCCCAATCCCGCGGGCATTGTTGAGATTACCACACAGACCATGCTGGGACTAGCCAGTCGCGTCACGTTAATGGAACCCGCAGCTCCTGTTGTGACTACCCTGAAGCCATTCATGGGTCTTGACGATGCCACGCCTGAGCCAGCTAAGGAAACGTCATCAACACAGTCCTTGGTCACCACCAAGCCGAGCACGGAGCAGCGCAAGCGTGTGGAGTTGGGCTTGGAAGCCATCTCCCTAGGCCTGCCCTGTGCCAGCGATCGCCAGTGCCAGCTAGCGGATCCACACACGGTTTGCAACAGACGTGGTGTTTGCGATTGCGCCGAATCTGGCAATCAATGCAATGCCGAACGTACAGGCTGCAGTCCAGGCACATTCCAGGTAAATTAGCTTTCCTTTTAAACGTATGGCTGTTTGCTTAAAACCCGCTCTCTCTTGCCTCTTTTAGTGCCGCTCGAGTGGTGTTTGCATCTCGTGGTTCTTCGTCTGCGATGGTCGCGCTGACTGCAATGACAACTCCGACGAGGAGTGCACCCACAATGCGCGCTTCAACCAGACCTGCCCCGCTGAATCGTTCCGTTGCGAGCGCAGCGGTCGCTGCATCTCGCGTGCCGCCCTTTGCGATGGTCGCAAACAGTGTCCACATGGCGAGGATGAGTTAGGCTGCAATGGCGGCACCAAGAGCGTCTCCTGTCCGCCCCACACATTCCGCTGCAATAGCGGCGAATGCCTGCCCGAGTATGAGTACTGCAATGCGATTGTGTCCTGCAAGGATGGCAGCGATGAGCCCCCCCATTTGTGTGGCTCACGCTCCATGCCTCAGCTGTTTAGACGTCTTATCGAAGCGGGTGGACTGCTCGGCAGCAGCAAAGATGCGGGCGCCTATTGTCCGCATCGCTGCAGTAATGGGCTCTGCCGCTCAACAGCGATCGTGTGCTCAGGACGCGATGGCTGCGGCGATGGCACCGATGAGCAGACCTGCGCCGTGTGCAGTAAGTATATCCATACGCTTAAGCTTGGTCAGATAGGCAAATAATTTGCAAACAAACTTTTGACTTGAAGTAACTTAGAAAAGATGCATTACTTGCAAAATCTGGCTAATATGTGTGAAAATGTTTGCCTCGCTGCCCAGGCTATAAAAAAATCCGTAGTTTATGATAACGCTCATTAAACTACTATTATAATCATTCGCTTTAAATCATTTTCAGGATGCCCCGCACCCACTGCTGCCAGCTTGCCCGCCTACCTTGCCAGACACCGCCCCATGCCGCTGTGGTAAACATCCTTCGCACTTGGCTCACGGCACTGACTGCTGTTTTAAAACAAATTCATGGAAAACTCTTAAAGCCCTATCGAGCACACACACACACACACATGATCGGATAAAATTCCAATATTTGCCAATATATGTCGACGTCAAACAACCATATTATTTTTGTTAGCATTTAAGCTTATTTAACGCTATTTATTTATTATTTATTATGTTGACTGCGCCAGATCTGTGCAATTGCCACCTTGCTAGCAAGGGAGTTTTTCCCAATATAGAAGTTTCCTTTGAGCCAGCGATGCTCTGACAATTGTGCGCCTGCGCGCGCTCTGATCCCCAACACACTCACACCCACGAACACACTTACACACACACGCACACATTCGCACCTTATCTATTTATTCTACTCATTCTACTCATTGAACTATTTATTTATGCTCGCCCCTCAAAAATACACACAGACACACACACACACGGACACAGACAGACACACACACAAACAAACGAATGAATAGAAAAGAAAAAGTAAAAATAATGAGAACCAATCACTTCATTCGTTTAGTTTAGTTTTTATGAAATTTTCTAATTTATTAAATTATTGGCCAGGCAATCAACGAAATGATGCATTTTATTATATTTAAATTTTTGTAAATAAGTAAAGGAAATTTTGCTGTATGTAAAGATAATGATTATAACAACGAAATCGTAAGGCATGATAATAATAAATAACAAATTTAAACAAAAGACAACAATTGTTGAGTGGCCGGGCTCAAGTTAATTTTCTCAAAGTCAAAGCATCACATAAAAAAGCAAGAAAAAATATATGAATTAAATAAAAATTTATATTTAAAATAAATTTCAAATTGTTTTCATTTCACTGCAAATATGCGAAAAAACATCTTTCTTTCTAGCTATTACAAATGGACATATCCAACTCAATGTGTCTTCTCCTCCTAATGAGAAATATAAGCTATGTATTCATTTCAAAATACGGAACGACAAATTGGTCTTAAATTCAAAATACACTCTGAAAATATGCCGCCTCTATCTATTATACATATGTATATATATGTTATCAGCTATCTTCCTTCATCTAAAAATGTACAAGTAGAATAATATTCTTCTTATAAGTAGTATTTTTTGTTATATTATATTTTCTTCATTTCATATTATTTCTCCGATGTTACCTCAGATGAACAGACGGACATTTGAAGCTGAATATATGTATGTGTTGATCAGAAACATGTACCTCGTTTGAATTTCAAAGTAGGTTCATTTTTTATATGCCCAAAAAATGCACAATTTTAGAATCCCATTAATTTTGTGCACTATCGAAAAATATTTGATCTACATCCCTAGTTCTTACATTAAGCGCGATTTTTAACATGTGTTTCTTAAGGTACTTGGGTTCAGAATCAAAATATTTTTTCTACCCAATTAGCAAATTCGTACTTGTAAGACGTTTGCAATGCCGTTTGTTATCCGAAACCAAAAGGTTTTTCCGATTTGCCAAACAATTTCCATTTATTTGGGTACCAAAGTTTTGCATGCACTGTCCGCACGGCGGAAAATGAAAAGCCAAAAGCTTGTGGCGAAGCACGTGCAAAGTGCCAAAAACACCAAAAGTCGCACTCAACAAGCAAAACCAAATACAGTTTTAAGACCGTGCACTGTTTTTGGCGTTGTCGTTGCCGTTTTATATTTAAGCAGAATGTTTACAAATAATGAAACAACAAGTGTGCGTCGAATCTGTGTTCTGGTCGCAACGTCAGTTGTAAACACGTGCGAGTCGACCACACATACTACATACTTGTAGTTCTGGGCAAGCGTGCGAGTAATAATAAAAAGAAAAACATCAACATATCTAATCTCATTGCAACTGCGCAGGCGCAGTGAGTGTCAAACTGTGCCAAGCAAATAAAAACATTGCATGCTTTTAGGCGGCGCTCTGAAATGCCGCAGCGAAAAGCAAAAGGATACGTGAAATTAACGCCAGTGTGTTGGTCTGTGTGGCCTTGTGTGTGTGTGTGTATGTGAAAAATCTCGCCATCAGACAACGACAAATATGCTCACACTTGGCGGAACGCCTGCGAGCGACTCACACGCTCCACAACTGCCAAAACACTTGAGACGAAAGCTTGCAAAATATTTTTCCCCTATTATTATTCATTTGCGAGGCAGCGAGCAACACAGGACGCTTGTGTGTCTGCCTGCCAGGCTAGTCTCCTGCAAGCAAGCAAGACAAAATTTACAATCAATACACAAACGCTGCAAAAAACGCTGTTCAAGTGAGTGCATGCCAATTATTTGAAACAAATTAAAAAAGTGAATTATTTCTGCTTTTTAACAACATCATTAAGGCAGTGTGTTCAGTTGGAGTTATATTGAGAGTAAATCGCGGAGGAAAAACATACGCATACTCAGCAAGAAAATATGTCTCTATAAGTGTGTGTATGTATCTGTGAATATATATGTGTGCGTGTATCTTGTTATAATGCCAAACTGATGATTGCAATTTTACGCTGACGCTGCAGCTGAAAATACTTCAATGGAACTTGACACAGCTTTTATGTGAGTGCTTGTGTGCGTGTGTGTGGCTTGTGCTTTTTTTTACTACACCACGCGTCCTCGACATACTCATATATACATACTTGCATATAGTATATATGTAGCTGCAGTCATGTAAGTACGAATATAGACTCATAGACTTTTATGCAAATTGTATGCCATTCACGGCTTTGCTAACACATTTGGCACGTCTGTTCTGTAGGCCCCAGCACTTGACTTAAACGTTCAGACATCTTTAATATTCAATGTAGTATGCATTTAAATCTGCACATATATAAATATATATAGCATAGTATATACCTACTATGACCGTATAATGAGTTGTTTCAATGGGACCACGCGGCGTATGAACAATTCATGTTACCTCGCCAGCCATGTGTTTATTTTCCCGCCGTTACATTCGTTAGCAGATGGGGGTGGAGAGGAGAGGAGGGCATTTGTTGATAGGGTTAGTGAGCTTTCGCACGCTCACAGCTGCCCCCAAAGCGACGGGCGTGTAGCGAACGTTTCTGTGTATGTGTGTTGATTAATTTGTCTAATTGAAAGAATTTGTTAGTGACAGACAACTGAGACCCAAATGCTAATAAGTTAAGTGCCATAAAACGTGTGACGCATGTGAGAAGTGGGATATAAATATCCAAAAAGGGCGTGTTATTGAAGTAATTATGAGAAGGGTCAACATAAAGGACATAACATATTTAAAGTAAATAAATTTAAACCTACAGAGCTACTAAACAGGTAGATACCTTTAAATTTTGTTTAAGATAAATCGATATGTGTGCAATATTTGATTGCACAAAATCCTCTAATTACTACTAATCAAATCTGCTACTCTTGATAGGATGAGAAGAACAGTGGCAAAACGTACTGTGAGTGTTAAATCACACGTTCAGAAATTGTATTCAGATTTCAAATAGGTGAAAGTTTCATTAAGTGATGAACGAATTAAACGGACGCTATTTTGAAAAACATTATTGATATCATCTATTTCATAAGTTGCCTGCAAGCTTACTTTCTTTACTATATTTTTTAGCTCCAGAAAAGGTTTTGTAAATATTGTTGATTTCTTATCAAAAGCAAAATATCTCTTTGGTCTTGCTAGCTTGCTTAAATCTCTAGCTTGCTTAAATTTCTTATGTACTATAAATGTTATGAGTGGAATGACAAATATTTCATCTAATTTTTTATAAATATAGTATAGCTCTCTTTGAGCTGCTAAAACCCCATTCACAAAATGTATTTTCGTCTCCATGTTTTTAGCATTAACAATTTGTTGACAAAAAAATATTTTCTATTCGTTGGCGGATAAGTGACATTATCTGTATCCGTCAAAAATATGCGTTGAAGCAAAATTTCAACGCAATACATGATGCTGGTTATATACATATGAAATACATGTACAGTGTACCTCAGTAAAATTGATATATGTGCAACTGTTTTTTTAAGTTTCTTAGGAACTCTTGAATGTTAGATTTTTACTTTTATTTTTTTTATATAGCTAATAGATATTGATAATTAAAAATCCATAAATTTATTTAGTATTTAATTATTTGATGAATAATAAGTTAACGCAAAGAAATTTTTCATAGACAGTTGATATATGTGCAAATGAAAAGAAATTCAAATTTTAATTATTATTTACATTTTGAATACAATTTACTAATAGTTTTAGTAAGATATAGTGTTTCCCTTTTGTTATACGGCCTACCATCAGGACATGTCAATTTGTCGCCATTCCTGGACAATGGCCTCTCTTACATTTTTTAAATGGTCAAATTGTTTTCCACACCTAAGAACCTTGCCTAATAGGATGCCCTAAAGGTCCTCAATTGGATTTAAATCCGGAATTTTTGCCGGACAATGCATTAAAGGGATATTTCTTGTCTCGAAAAACGGCATGCTACGCCGTGCAACGTGTATTCAGCGTTACCCTGCTAAAATTAAGTTCGCTGTCCAGGAGATCCGCATACATTTGCGCATTCAGCCGATCTGGTATAAAGCATATTGGTAGCTTCCCAAGGGAGCTTAAAGCCGGCCATACCATGAGTACCATACCGCAATGGTTCCATCTTTGGCAAATCTGCTGGGGATTGCTTAAATCGCGCCAATACTTTTGGTTTCCATTTGAGCCGTTACTTTTTTTTCATAATTGAAGATGACCCTTTTGATTTTCCTGTCCCAAAATTTGTACTTTTCGTAAAGTGCAAGACGCGCCATTTTATGTCGGTGCAATAGCTTTGGCTTATGCACCTTGGCATCATATTGGAAACCCATTTCCATTCTCCGAATTTTTGGCAACTGTAGCCCAGTTATTTGCATTTTTAATCCTGCCCTAATTTGGGCTCAGCTCATTACTTTGGTGGTTGCCAACGGCATATTCGAGGCCGTTAAGTGCGGTCACCAACTTTGGGAACTGCCCTTTTCCGGTTGTTTTGGGCATATTT